TCATGCTGTAGGATAGTGTTGGGCGAGTTGTGCTGTTTCCAATTCAGTTTGAAAGACGGGTGTTGATCTGTGTTCAAGAAAGCTTTCACTGCTCTCTGATTTGCACAGTGACAGTTTAAAAGACTGCCTTGCATCCAAGACAAGTGTGCTGTGAGTGCCTCTTGGCCAAGGACTTCCAAAAATACATGGGGTGTCCCAGATGCAGGCGTTAAGAGTCTGTGTAGCAAAAGTGGGGTAAGCATTGGGGTCTGCCTAGCAAAGCTACTCTGCAAACCATAGCAGCAGGTATGTAAAGAGGAGAAGAGAAAACACTAAGTTGAGCCTAAGCTGCAGCCGCAAGAAACAAGATGCAGTGATGAGGAACAGGCCCACAAGGGCAGCACTCGCAGTGGTACATGGCAGCTGCCCGGCCGGTCTCTGGGCACGGCCGGAGCAGCAGCCCCGGGGCCGGTACCTGTAGCCCGAGTGCCCTCTGCTGACACCAGCGCTCGGCAGCAGCTGCGGAGAGCGCCGGGAGCCGTGGGTCACCGGAGGTTTTGGCATCCCCAGTGCGTGGTCTGCAAATGGGGCAGCCTTTGGAGCACCGCACCAGAGCCTGGAGCTGCTGGGAAGGTGAAGGCGGTTGGGAGCCTCCGCTGCAGTCTTGGCATGAGACAAACTCCTCCTCAATAAACGAGGGAGGCTGACACTGAGCCCAGAAGTGTGCTCATGTGCTTGCTTGACTGTGTCTGGCTGTTCTATTCCTCAACACCTCTTCCTCACACACCAGTCCTGACCATGTCTGTCAGGTTCTGGTTTGTCTGGGTACCTTTGCTTTACACACAGGCTGCTGTGTAAGGAGATCATCTCTCTTGGGTAGCTATCTTGGTAGTTACGCTTTAGTTATACTCTCAGTAGTTATGCTGCTTCTAAAGCTTTCCAGCTTCCTTGAGACTTCCCAGTTGAGCTCACTAATTCCAAAGTGCCTGCCCAGTAGGAAAGCATCTTTAGGCCCTGTTGTCACTAATAGGTAAGGAGACTGGGAAAGACAGGGCAGTCATTGCCCAAAGAATGTCAGGAGGAGCTAGCTGGATGTCAGGAGGAGCAGGAATCATCTTAGCTCAGTGCCAGTGCTGCTCACCCATGGACTTTTTGTTTTTCCCTGAGATATCTGTGTGGTATGGGACAGCACTGAAGGAGGTGTGGGAATGGCTGTATCAGAACTGCAAAGGGAGGTGTATGCCCAGGGGATGTTTCTTCACTAGCTCAGTGTTTTCCAGTTCTTTGCAGGTTTTCCATTCCTGGCATGCCTGTTGGCCCAAATGCAAGGGTAGTTCACTGGCTTTCCATCCTATTTGTGGCCATACTTATCTCTGCTGTAGCTTTAGGCTGATGTGTGGCTGATGCCCCACTGTCCTGGCTTTTAGGAAGTGGCATTCCCAACCCCTACAAGCTGTTTGATTTAGAGAAATCAGTCTCCTAAACTATCCTTCCTTTTACGGCTGGCTGGAACAGCTGGGCTGCAAGCAACAGGGAATTGTTAGATAGATTTTACTCTTTTCTCCCCCATTCCTCCCATCCCCAGTCTTGAATGCCTGATGGGGGAGGAAATTTCTCCATCTGTCCACAAACCCCCCAGATGGGTAAGAATAGATGCTTCATACAGAAAAAGTCAATTAGACTTGACAAGAGATATATGCTAGTGCTTCCTTGCCAGGGCCACAGCTTGCTCTGGTCTGTTCCTCTGCAAGAGACTTGCTGTAGAAGCTACTGTGGATCTTGTACAACTGCAGCCACCAGGATGCAATTGGCACCCAGGACATGAGATGTCAGCTGCAGAGAGTGAGAAGGGGCTGCGTGGCACCCTGTGTGTAAGGCTTCTCTTAGTGGCACTCAGTATTAAAGAAGGCAGGATAAGAGGTGTGTTTGTGCTGGTGTCTTGGCCAGGGGTGAGTAGATCATGCCTCAAACTCCAGCTCTCATCGTCCAGCTGTTTTGAGGGCTGTTTTGGAGGGCATTTCTATTCTTTGGTGTAGCTCACTACTAAGTGGTGTCTGCACCAGAGATGGCTGTGATGAACTTTGGTTTGATGTACAGAGGACGTAAGAGCCCTTTCTATAGCTCTTGTTGTCATGCTTAGGACTGGGAGGAGACCCTTTTGTGTGGTTTTGATTTTGGCTTTTTCCTCCAGCAACAATCGAATTTGTCTGTTTAATGCTTGGATTTCTAAATACTCTGAGTCTGGCTGATGAGAATCTCTGTTACAGATTACCTGGGGACAGACCTTTCTGTCTGCTCAGCACACTTCTATGTTGTTCATCAGTGTTCCCAAAGGCTCCTGTGTAGCATCACCCAACTGCTTGCAGGTGATGCACAACAGAAAGCAGAAGGCACTCCTGTTTGAAGCTGTGTGTGATGGAGCCCTTCAGTGGCTGGGAGCTTAAATACATCAAACCCTTTTGTCAGCTGCACTGATTCTGCAATCCTATGAAATTGCATCATCCCCGTTTCAATGAAGTCTGTACCATGTGAGAACCCATTAATGTCCTGCACTGTTTGACAGATGAGTTGACATTGCCTTGGACCTGGAAGTGTGTGCTGCAGATCTCAGTGCATTCAGACCTGTGGGATTTGATCAAAATTCCAAAAGCATTTGGAATGAAATATTTATAATGTGAACAGATTTTATTCCTTCTTTCCCCCTCAAGTACTTGCTTTGGAACTCTGGTACTGATGTGGCTGCAGGAAAGGAGTAATCTCTCCCCTGTGGTCAGCAGCAGCTCTTGCAGGCAGCTCTGTGGAGCAGAGGTAGCTGTTGCGTGCAGGGAAGCAGAATGTTTTGGAAAGCACCTCCTGGAGGGGAGGAAGAAGGTCAGGATGCCCCTGGCATGTGAACATCAGGCCTGGGGGCTTGAGTGGGAAGCCCCCAGCAGCTGCGTTCATTGTAAGGAGCTGCTGGGGGGGCTGTGTGCATTCAGTGGTCCAGCCTAGGTGAGCCCTACCCTGGATTTACATGGGTCCTGACTCTGAGATGATGACTTAGGAAAGGTTCAATTTAACAACTGCATCAAGACGTGGAATATTGATGCCTTTGTTGTATTAATTCCCCAGGGACAGGCGGAGGCCTCATTCCTTCTGTGGGGCAGAGTTGGCAGCGAGTTGAACATTAACCAACAACTTTGTCAGCTTCACTAAAGGCTGTGGTGGTGTGTGACTGTGTGTGCAGGGGTGATGGAGGGGAAAGGCTTAAATTCTGAACTGGTTCTGGTCTCTCCTGGGTCAGAACCAAGGCTGAGCTCATAACAGAGCTGCAGTTACAGTCGACCTGGAGGGCATCTGTCAGGGCTGGGCTGTGTAGGAGCTTTCCTGGACCTGCTCTGTGCCTTGCATGAATTCCTACTGTGTTTTAAGTGCACCTCTGCCTGCTGCTGCTCTGCAAAGCTGTTGCCCATCAAGTGCTTCTGACAGGTTCAGGCTGCTGGGCCAGGGAACAGAACATCTACCTCTTTCAGGGAGACTCATTATCCAAGATACAATGACTCCTGGTTGTTGACAGCAGTCCACATAACTGAGCAGAAGACACATACTGAAGCATAGGATATAAACACCCAGCACACAAAGGAAGATCCACACACAACTGTGTCACTTTATTGTGTTTGCCTGGCCTGTGGCTTGGTGTGGCTGTGGTTTGGAAGCATCCCAGTGCAGAAAGCCTGGTGAAGCAGAGCATGCAGTGACCAGCTCGCAAGCTCTCTCCTACAGGTAATAGTAGTTACACTGCACTTGTAATGGTGCACTTTGATGCAAAGTGGCATTCAAGTATGTAGGTGCTGGCAGCCCAGGAAGGGAAGACCGATAGATGGATGCGAAAATGTAAGTGCCTTTCTCTCTAGGCAACACCAGCTCTATTAAGGAGATGCTCTTCTGAGAGGACTCACCAGCAGGGACAGACTTGGCTCAGGGAAGCTTTAGGTGTCTTGGTTCAGGACGGTGGCTCATAGCCTTCAGCTGATAGCAAGAGGCACTAGTGGGAGTATGTATGAAGTGCAGTCCTGTCAGTGAGCACATGGAGTGGAGGCAGACGTGTACTTTTGCAGACACTGTTAGTAGGCAGAAAGAACTGCCATTAAGTGGGGCTAACAGCAGCTGTGTGAAGAGTATCTCCTGCCTGCCAGGAGATGTCCAGGGTGCTTGCTGCATGAACAAGCACCTGCAGAGGCCAGGAAGGGGTAGATGAGTTTGAGTTTGTCCCATGACCCCCTCCCAACTTTGCTTCTAACCCATTTCCCTAAGGCCTTGGCATCTCTTCCCCAGCAATTACTGTTGCTTGCTCTGTCTGAGGGAGCTAAATGAAGCACCAGGGTTGGACATTAGAGACATTTTGGTTCCCAACACTTGATAAATGGATGCTGGGAATAGTAGAAAAGGATCTAATCCCAACTGCTTTGCATTTTCACTAAAAATTAAACTAACAGCACTTGGCAGCCAAGCTGGAGCTCCTCTGTGGCCAGCAGTGACATCTATGGTTTATAAATGGGAGAAGCTAAGGTTCTCATGAAGCAGTTGGTGATGCTTCAGATGTGACAAGGCTCTGGCATGTTCCCAGACACAAGGACTATGCTTTTCTTTCTTCCGTTTTTTCTACTCTACCTTCTAACAAACAAATAAGCTTTAGTGCCCCTTAAAGTTAAGGGGTGCCCAAGTCTGGGAAGCAGGCAGGGTGCTAGTGGCTTAGAAGCAAGATCTGTAGGACCTTTGGGGATCTCATAGCTGACAGAACATCTGTGCAAGCGGCGAGGCTCTCTCTCCTGTGGTGCATTCACAAATTCATTCACGTTCTTCGCACAGTCCCCTTGAGGAAGGGCAGATGGTGGCCCCTGCCATCTCACACACGCCCTATTCATGCGCAGGAAGGCCGTGTGCGCTACAGCCTGGAAGCAGCACCATGCGGAAACCATCCGGAGGCCATGGAATGCCCTGAGGGAAGTCAGCTCCAGCATGCAGGCCCCAGTTCTGCATGGCTATGGCTCCACTGTCACGCTGCTGTTGGTCACACGTACGCCGTACCATCCCTTCCAGAACAGCGTGTCCTGGCCACCGTGTTCAAAGCGGACAAAGCGGACCCCAGGGCCGTAGTTGGAAAAGGTGTGGGAGATCTTTGGGATGAGACACAAAGTGGTCATTGGTAATTGTCAAACCACCATGAACCTACCCTTTAGTGCAACAGAGCCTTCAACCCCACCTGCCTGAGTCATACCTAACAGGTTGGGTAGCAGTGAGGACATTTAGAGTGGGAGTTACTAGATGGAAGGAGCTTTGATCCCGTTGTTTTCAGAGGCCATTGAGCCTCCCCCAGTTTCAGGCATCTCCATCTTACACCTGCAGTGGTGGCTCAGCAAGTTCCCAAGTTTTATGTAAGGTAGCCTCCCAGTATAATCCCTGTGTTCAAACATAGGGCCATAGCTCCACAGAACAAGACAGATGCCTTCTCTGGAACTCTCCTACTTCTCTCTGCTTGCAAACATTCCCAGTTCCTGCAGGTCGGGTGTTACCTGCTGAGCCCAGAATGTAACTCACCTCAGTCCAGCTGGCATCGTTGTCCTGTGGGATGGCAATGGTCTCACTTTTGTACTCAGCCAGAACATCCTCGTTCTCTGAGAGCAGCTTCACACAGAGCTCATAGAGGCAGCCGGCATCACTGCGCCCTGCATACCTGTAAGGAGACCTATGCTACAAAAGAGCCAGAGCACACAACCACATCTTGCTGAATGCAGGCTCCATCCTCTCAAGGTACTGGAGCCTTGGTTTGAGGTGGAAATCTGCAATGGTTCCTGCCCCAACCTACCACCTCCCCTCATTCACAACAAGAACCTGGTCTTCAGAGGCCACATGCACCAATTTGAAGCTTGGCTTACAGCACCACAGGCAGCTCCCACAAGACCCAGCCCTGTCCCACATCGAGGGGATCCTGGGAGCTGAGGTTTTAAGGTCCAGGGCAGGTATGTGCCATTCCTTCTCTTTCTTGACTCTCTGCCTGCTTTCTGAGGCATCCTTGCTACTTACCAGTCTCTTACCACAACTTTAGGCTGGGTTGTATCCATCAGCTCTTCCCAGTAGCCCTCAGCCCTCAGGTCAATGACCTGAGCCTTTCGACACCACCTGAAATACAAGATGTTAATGGGTATCACAGTCTCTGCTGGTACTGGGGCAACCAAAAATGTCCCCTTCCCTGAATAAGAGAAGAAAGCAGCCTTACTCATAAGATGTAACAAAGTACTTATGGACTTCTTCACTCGGGAATTCTTTTCCAAAATCCCCGGGGAGCTCTTCAATTTTCCAGCCATCACCTCCATTCTCTACCTCTCCCCAGTGCTGCAAGTCTTCTGCAAATGGCAGAAAAGAGACTTGAATGAGTCTTAGTTTCTGTGGGCCAGCAGAACCTGATCACCTCCCCTGGGACCTTCTTCTGGCTTGTGAAAGGAATGCTGTGGAACAGGTTGCCCAGAGAAGCTGTGGCTGCCCCATCCCTGGCAGTGTTCAAGGCCAGGTTGGACACAGGGGCTTGGAGCAACCTGCTTTAGTGGAAGGTGTCCCTGCCCGTGGCAGGGGTTGGAGCTGGATGAGCTTTAGGGTCTTTTCCAACCCAAACCAGTCTGGGATTGTATGATTTTGTATGTAGACTACAGAGATGTTTGTTAAGTAGGGGTCAGGCAAATACCTTTAGTGTGGCTGAACTGAATATTAGCAGACTTTAACATTCCCCACCGAAATGGCCATGTACAATGGCTATGTGGGTATATTTAAGTACTTTATTTAGTATTTAAGTACTCCAGAAAGATTATTTAGGTGTTCTGAACTGTGTTTCAGTACTTCCAGCTTTATAACACAAGCACAGCCTGGAGAGGGTTGCTGACTGCTGGATTTCTAAGCTTTCTAAATTGCTAAGTGGTATGTCTAGAAGCAGTATTAAACACTGGGCTCCTCCGGTCTCAGCCAGAGGGAACCTGGGTGTTGGAAAAGCTTCCAGAAAGATAATCTGTGAACAGAATGGAGCAGCTGTGTTGATACTGCTTTGGTCTATGATGTGCAAAATGTGTTTATTGCTGCTTTTGTTGAGGCCTGGTTACTGCTGCTTATTGCTGAGCATCTTGCAGATCTGGCAAGCAAAGTTCATAGATTATCATCATAATGGCAACTAGGGGGTGTGCACAGCTCTGACAGGCTGCAGGAAGGAGAGTAAAGACAAGGTTTGTCTGAGCTGCTTCAAGGAAGGAAGCCTGAAGTGCCTGGTGAGCTATGGGTAGGCCAGCTCCTGAGCAGGGAAGGGCTTCATCTTTCCTGTCCTGGCTTTGCAAGAAGCAATCTAGAAATGCACATGTCCCTCCCAGTACTGCACTGCACAGGGGCTCAGTCCCGCTTGTTACTGCCCTGGACAGGGCTTGCAAAGGACATTTCTGTCTCAAATATGATCTGAATCCCTGCTAGGGCTTATAGAAAGTTGATGTCAGGTAGAGCCCTTTGCAAAGGCTGATTATCAAAGGCCTTCATGCCCATTAAATGATTTGACTGCATTAAGTGATTTGACTCTTGGGCAAGAAGAAAATGCTACAACCTGGTAGCAACTAAGATCTTTTTTCCCAAGACTGGAGATGCCCAATTCCAGTGACCGGTCACCTCTATGAAATCCTGGGGCTTGTTATGCTCATCTCTCACCTTCACCACATGGGTTCTTGATGAGATTCTTCCTTTTCTTACTCAGGAAGTAGAAGTTTTGCCAGTTCTCTGCATTCTCCTGTGACTCTGCTCCAGTGAGGCCTTCCTGC